CAAAGAATTTATGGGATACAAAACATGGTTAGGATAAAAGATAGGTGATTGGCTCAAGTAGCAGTATTTTAAACACGAGACCTACGATGCTGATTCACTTAACCGGATAGCTATGATTCGGTCTATAAATACTCTTAAGGTCTGGACTGACATTCTTTTAGAGAAAAGAATAACTGAAGTTATGTAGACCAAGATGTTGTGGCCTTTATGGTCGCAGTCAGGGTGCGTTCTACAAAGTCGCCCTGACAAGACCAGGTTGCGGCGAGGTCAACCCATTTGTATGAAAGAATAACTGTCTATTATATACACTACACCATAAAGCGAATCATTTAAAAGGAGGAATAGAATAAATGCATACTATGTACCTGTTAATTGCCTGGCATGCGGGGTCTCGTTATGGAATGAAGGAACCTGGAGTGGTGTAGTTGATGGTTTGGCTCCGATTTCTTCCTCCTCCACAACAGACTGCTGAATGGAGGTCTGTATAAGTTCCGATACCGTCGACTGGCCAGCCAAATTCGGTACAGCTGGCATCATAGCGCTGGTATCGCACGTAGACAAGGCCATCACAATCATGCTTTCTGCGACTTCGGTGTTGTCCGAAACCTTCATGGAAGAATTTTCTATAGCCTGGGGCTCGGCAGAAGTCGTACAAAACTCTGCTGTTTGTTGCTGTTTTCCTTCAATATCTGACTCAGACATACGTATTAGATTGTGATGTGAAGCACTTTCTTCTGAATCGTTGCAATCAGATATGGGAATTGTAAACAGCTGTTGCGCCCCGGTCAAGGGACTTGAATCGGCGAACTGATTAATGCTAGGCTTGGCCAAGTCGATCGGCCCTGAGGGACACTGAGTGAGGCCCTGAAAGTAAATAATACGAATATTAGCATTATTCAAATAGTTTAGATTATGAGTAGGGTTGTAGCTGTGTAGAAGATCAATTATGAATGCAGGCCTCCTCGCCATATAGAAAATAGAATAGAAGAGACAAATAATTGTCATCAGACAACATGGCTGGAAACAGCCATTCGACAAAGCTTCTGCTGTGTCGACGACAATTTTTGCCCTAAACTGAATTAACTATCAA